GAGTGAGTGAATGAGAGTGAGTGAGTGAGTCTAGTTCTGTCCTTTTATCCCCACTATTCTCACTCCCCTTCCCATCCCAGATCCCACACACAGCCTCAAACCTGCACATGGCAGTGGCTTTCCACCTTCCTGGTGGCATTTCACACAGCAGGTGCAGCTCTGCAGGAGCCTCTCCAAGCTTTCGTTCTAAACTTGTTGGGTTCCTTCCTTCTGCTGTCCCCCTCTGACAGGGAGCCTCTCCACAACCAGCCCACGCTTCCCTCTGGTCAAGCCCCTTGCTGTCACTAACCTTGTCTGGCCAAACTCATCAACCAAACATTGGACCGCCCCTCCTTTGCTCCATTTCTCACTTCTTTAAAAATCCCTCTTTCACCATCAGCTCCAGAGAAGCTGCCCTTGACCCCTAACCACAGGGCCTTGTGTTTTTTCTTCCCCCCATGCTGGCTCCTATGAGCTCTGTTTAGCACCACTCATTCAACACCTCCCACGCCTTCCCATGTATTTCTGTAGATCTTGCTCATTCATTTAGTATTTACTTTTTAAAATTATTTTGGTAACCAAAATAAAAGCTACAAACAGTACAGAAGTGTGCCGAGCACAATGTGGAACTAGCTCCTGGTTCTCACGGCCATCCCCAAAGGTAACCGCCCACGGTACTTAGTGTGCGACCTTCTAATTCTTCTCTAAATGTCTGTATCTGTTTAGCACCACTCATTCGCTTAGGGAGGGGCTTGTCTCACCTCCGTTGTCCTGCTGCTGGCTTTTTTCACATGAGGGTATAGCCTGTTTTTGTTGGTGGTCTCTCAGATTTCCCATCTTAGTGGAGGGGACCTCAAAAATTTCGTGGGGGAACAATAAATCCTCTCTCGCTTTCGTTTTGCCACGAACTTATAAAAGCCTCATGTAGTTAGACCTACCTTTTTGGTGGTTTCTCAGTATCTCATAGTATTTATTAAAAATAAACACTGTGTTTTTGTTTTTTACACTGTGTTTATAATCTTATACAAAGGGCATCGGGACACTAGGACTTAGTGGGCGCCCAGCCTGAGCAGAACCTTGCTCTTGCCACCAGTGAGCAGAAGGGGTCTGGGAGATGAAGAGGGGTGGGGACGTACTGACCTGTGCAGAAGGAAGAGGAATGTGCCTGAGAGTGTGGTGTGAAGTCCAGAAAGCACAGTCACTTTGAGCTAAGCGAATCAGGGCTTCAGAGAGGAAGTTGCATTTGAGCTTGACCGGTGAAGGAAGATGATGAACTGGGGCTCACAGCTAGAAGCACAGTGGTGGCAGACCCAAGTGCGAGCAGAAAGGAGATTCAGCTCAACTCCACAGACATTTGTCAAGCACCTCCTCTCTCGGGCAACATAGCACCCAAAGGGGATATGGAAATAAGAGGTCACTGTGTGTAAGAAGCTTTCAGTTTAATGGAGTAAAAGCCAAATTAGGACCACATGATGGACATGCTTAACTGGTATGCCAAAGGGTCTGGGTTTTACTGACATGCAATGGCTCGGAGCCACAACAGGCTTTTAGAAGTCAGATGACCTGACTGACACTATGCACACAGCTGCACTGTACAGAAGGGGCTAAAGTGGGGAAGAGACATGGGGGGTGGGGCATTTAGTGCTTCTTAAAAACAAGCTAAGACATTTCCTTTGCCTCATTTAAAAGATGCTCGAGGGTCGTATCGTAGGCTGTCCTGGGCTGGGACTTGGGCGTGGTCTTGTTGCTTCACCATCCTAGCCCACAGCGTGTGCCCTCGTGGCCCTCTCCTGGTCTCATAGGCCTCCAGGGGTTCAATCATCTCTGCATTGGAGGTAGCAGGAAGGAGGGAGGGAGATTGGGGAAGAACAGTGTTACCCTGGAGCCTTTTCTGGGAGCTAGGACAGTTACTTCCAACACTTCTGTTTATTCTGCCCAGCTGGCCAGGACTGAGGTAAAGGCTACCAGAACAAACAAACTCGCTGCCGCTGAGTCCGTGACAGGGTAGAACTGCCCCTGTGGGTGTCTGAGACTGGAACCTTTTACAGAAGTAGAAAGCCTCATCTTTCTCCCGAAGGGCAGCTGGTGGTTTCAAACTGCTGACCTTATGGTTAGCTGCCCTTGGAGGGCTCCCAGGCAGTGACCACACTTAGCTTTAAAGACTTGGATGTGTGCTTCTGTTTCTTTTTTTAAGGTATAATGTGCATGCAGTAGAAGGCACAGATCGTGACCCTGCCTTTTGCTAAGTCTGACCAACGCGCACACCTCTGTACCCCATGTCTCTTTCAGGCTCTCCATTTCCTCAGACATACCCATCTGCTGAGGGGGCTTCTGACAATTCCAAAGAGAGCCCGGAGCCTTAATGAGAGCGGTAGCGATGGGAAGGGATAGGAAAGGCTGGAGAGAGGAGGTAGAATCCAAGGAGACAGAATGAAATGGCTGACCTGCCAGAGAATCTCAGTGGTAGCAGATGAGATGCATGAGGAGGACAGACCGCAGTTTGGAGTGTGCTGAGTGGCATGTAGGCTGACCATCCAGAAGGAGATACCCAGCAGGCAGTGGCCTCCGGAACTTGGGAGCACTGCTGGAGGTCAGTGGTATTAAATACCAGGGTGGGGGTGGGGGGCAACGAAGAAGGGAAAGAACAAAAAAAGCCAACTTAAAAAAAAAATCATTTTATTAGGGGCTCATACAACTCATCACAATCCATACACACATCAATTGTGTAAAGCGCATTTGGGCTAGCGACTTTTGAGGGAGCTGAATCACAAAACCAAGTCCTGAGTGAGCAGTGGGGGGTTTAAAACTTAAAACTTCAAAGGGGGGAGTGGGGAGGGAGGGGGAAAAAGCTGATATCAAGAGCTCAAGTAGAAAGCAAATGTATTGAGAATGATGTGCTTGACATAATGGATGGATGTATGGATTGTGATGAGTTGTATGAGCCCCCAATAAAGTGATTCAAAAACCAAAACTTCAAATCATGCACAAAGGGGTGTGTGCGTTAGGAGGATCACATAAAGTAGTTGAAACAAACCCCCTTTAAAAGTGGAGGTCCTCACATTAAACATGAAAAGGAGTGTTCCTGCCACCTTTGGAGGGTTTTGACCATGAACGGTGAGAAAAGAAAAGGCAATGTCAGAAGAAAAAGGACCCCGTGCATTCATTCCTCAGGGTCAAGGGCTCCCTTTTGATAGGCTCTCTCAAGGACAGACAGACAGACAAGGCAGAGCATGTATGACCCGTAGAAATTCAAACTCGGGTGGAGTGGGAGGAAGGGATGCTACCTTCGACACTTGCTGGGGTAGGTGAGCCAAGAGCAGACCGCTGGACACGCCCTAGGTTTGTCACCACCTAGCTAGATGACCTTGAACGAATTACTTGCGGGTCCAGTTTCTTATCTGTGAAATGGAAACAATTATGCCTACCTTTTAGGGTGGGTCTGAGCGCCTGGAACGCAGTGGGTGGTCATAATGGGTACTGTTAGGTGACCCCCACTTCTCACTCGGGGATAGAACAGCCAACGGCCGGGCAGAATCTCCGACCTCCCGATCTAGCAGACTAGGGAGGGTTCCCGCGGCCTCCTCCCTCCAGGAGGTGGGGACAAGGTGGAGGAAGGGCTTCGGGAGGAGGAGCTGGCGCGTCGCTACCCGCCCCGTCCCGTCCACTCTGGCCTGGACGCTTGAGGGAACATTGTCCCAGGCGTCGCCCGCTGAGCAGCCTGTCCTGGTGGTGTCCACCCCGGTGCCCTGCCCCGCGTCCAGCCATGACCCTGCGCCCCTCAAGACCGCTGCTCCAGCTGCTGCTGCTGCTGCTCAGTGGGGTGCTGTGCCGGGCGGAGCCTGGGGTCGAAACGGAAAGTCCCATCGAGAGCCTCCAAGTGCAGACCCTGGTGAGGCGCCGGCGCCGCGGGTACACCGGGTCTAAGGGGAGCTGGGGGCGGGGAGAGGGGGAAATGCGGGCACCGAGTCGGGGGGCGCGGGGCGAGCACGGGATCTCTGTGGGCGCCTCCGTGACTCCCGAAGCTCGATCGCAGGTGGAGCCCCCGGAGCCGTGCGAGGAGCCCGCGGCGTATGGCGACACGCTTCACATCCACTACACGGTGAGGAGCCGGGGAGGGGCGGGGCTCTGGTGAAACACGTCAGCGCTGGCTTGGACACGTGGCGAGTCGCTCGGCTGGGGCCTCCGGGGTCGTCCAGCACGTGGCGGGGAGGGGGAGGGGCGCGTCGCCTTGCGGTCTGGGCCCCGCGTGTCTGCCAGTTCCTCTCCTCCCCCGGCACCGAGAACCAGCTCTCCGGGAACCGCTGGGCTGCAGCTGAGTGGGGCCCGGGCCGCTGCCGCCCAGGCCACAGGTGTGCGCTGTGTGCTTGGCCTGTCGGGAGGGAGAGGTGTGGAGCGCACGCTCTTGTTGCTCTTCCCCGCAGGGCAGCTTGGTAGATGGACGCATCATTGACACTTCCCTGACCCGAGACCCTTTGGTGATTGAACTTGGCCAAAAGCAGGTGATCCCAGGTGTGTGCCGGCACTTCCCACCGCACCTCTTAGCATCCTAAGCCCCTGCTTTAGTTTCCTCGAGGCTTAATGTGCCCTGGAAATACTAGTCGCGCCCCCACCCCTGAGTTAGACACTTCACATCTAAGATCTCTCTCCGCTGGAAGCCTGGGATTTGGAAACAGGGACATAAGCTCAACTGAGGGCCGAGGGGAGCTTTAGCCCGCCTGGTGTTTAAGGAATGTGGGTAGCTTCTAGTTCCCTTGTGTCTTCTTCCTCCAGGACTGGAGCAGAGCCTTCTAGATATGTGTGTGGGGTGAGTATCTGGCCATTCCTGCCCCCACACCCACACCCACCCCACACAAGCCCCAGAGCAGGCAGGGGACTGTGGGGTCAAGGGTTCCAGATTCACATGGAGCGGGGGCCAGGGGAGGGGGCACCATGTGGACATTCACAGTCGCTGTGCCTTCCTGCTGTGGGAATTGTTGGTGGAGGTGAGGCGTGTGGGGAGATGGATGTCTGTCTGGTGCCAGGTGGGAGAGTGTGCTTTATGGATCTGAATGAGCTGAGGGTGACCAGGAAGGTTTGCTGGTGGGACTTCAGGTCAACGGAAGCTCCTGGCCCACCTGGCTCCACTTCTGGCTGTGTCTCACTCACCTTCCGTCCCTCAGAGAGAAGCGGAGGGCAATCATTCCTTCTCACTTAGCCTATGGAAAGCGGGGATTTCCACCTTCTATCCCAGGTAATCTGACCAGGGCTTTCACTCAGGCCATCCAAATAGCCCAAGGGAACTATGCTTTGGAGCTAGTCAGGGAGGGTCAGGTCTGCGAAATGGGGAGGGGTGGCTGGTGCCTCTTTATGCAGGGCCACTTATTTCCATCTCAGACCACTAAAGCCTGTTCAAGCTGCCTGGCAGCTCAGCTCCCGGTGGCCAGTGGCCAGTGACTTGTCACGGAGGGCGCTGCTGGAGCCATATGGGTCTGCTGCCTGCGCCATCCCTCACAGAACTCAGTGCCACGGCTTCTCTCTTGCCCTTTTCCTGTGTCGTTTGTATGCTTGGCATGGCTTCTCACTGCATCCCCACCTCTCCCTTCAGCCTCCACCAGGGGAGAGAGGGTCCCAGTCGTTTCTAATGACATCTAGAACAAAAAACAACTTTTAAAAGCCCTCATAGATATTCTTGAAGGCCTAAGACTGGACAGGCCTTGACAAGGATCTCTCTTGCCTCTGGCTAGAACAGATGTTCCCTTAGCTAAAATGTGTTGCACTCCGGTGAGTTGGGATCTGAGTTCCAGCTTGGGGGGTGAGGGGTGGGGGGAGACCCAGACTCAAAGCGGGGAGGGGACTAGACAGAAACTCTACTCGAAGCTCGTTTCCCTCCCCAACTTCATGCTGCTGGCTTCTGTTTGCACTCCTCCCCACCCCCACTCGGTCAATTCCCTCCCCCCACACACACACTACACACTTTACTACTTAAGCCACATCCCTTTCCTCTCTGGCACCACTGTTGAAGCTCCTATTTTCTCTGGCCCTTATATTGGGTGTGCTCAGGAGTTGGTGCAATTACAATCATTTCTAGTCTAAATCCAAATCATTTTAGCCCTGTAGAAATTCTCCGGGGGTGGGAGTAGGGGTCCACTTGGTATAGGTGGTTCCCTCCCTGATGGGAGAATGGCCTATACTTCTCAGATTCCTGTGCTATCAAAGGCCTGGCAGTAGGCCTAAACCACACTTAGAGCCGGGCTCGGCATGGCTAGCCTAGACGCTGGACATAACCTTTCCCGGCCTTTGCTGGAGCCAGCGCTCCCTAGTTGATGCAGATTCTGAGCTCTGGATAATTCCCTCCGGGAGCTTAACCCTCACCCTTCCTTTCTCTGCCTCTCCAGCGGATGCAGTGCTGAAGTTTGACGTGGAGCTAATTGCACTGGTCCGAGCCAACTACTGGCAAAAGCTGGTGAAGGGCATTGTACCTCTGGTAGGCATTGCCCTGGTGCCAGCCCTGCTGGGCCTCATTGGCTACCACCTGTACAAAAAGGCCAGCAGTCCCAAAGTCTCCAAAAAGAAGCTCAAGGAAGAGAAACGAAACAAGAGCAAAAAGAAATAATAAACGATGAACGTGAAAAACACCACCTTCTTTGCATTCTTTACCTGGTACTTTCTGAGGTTAATTTTCACTGTGTCAAGCATTATTCAAAGGGCTGGGGGGCGGAGACATTCTGAGAGGGCTCTTACCCATTGTGGGTAAGGCCTCTGCTTTCCTACCTTACCCAAAAGACCTGGTCTTGGATGCCCCCGACACCCCCGTAGGATCACTAGGCCCCGCGTTGCCCCAATTCTGGAGCAGTGTCTTCACTGGCAGTGGACTTCTAGGCATGGACCAACTAGCCCCTCCATTTCCTGGGACTGACATTCGTAGTGTCCTCAAAGTGGGCTGCTCTGTCCAATACAGCACAGTGATTAGGAGCTCAGACACTTTTAATAGAACAAAGTTCTTGGGGCCTCAAAAAAAAATCTCAAGTGGGAAAGACAGTGTCCCCTTGGGTCACAGGGTATGAGAGATCACGCGGGCTGCTTCAGTGATGTTGTAAGTGACGGCGAGGCGGCTTGGCCCCTGGCGGGGCTGCGGGCGGGGACAAGGCGGAGGGTAAGTTGCTCCGGTGGTTGACGATGAAGAGTGGGTTGAGCTGGCTCAGCACTTCGTCACTCACTGAGATGCCGTCCAGGTACTGCTTGAGCATCTCCCGCAGCTTCCCGTTGATGTCTAGCAGCTGGACCCGCCTGCGCTTCAGGCTCAGCTGCTCCAGTTTCACTTTGTTGTACCTTTTCCAGAAGTTCTCCATCCCTGTGTAGTCCATCACCATCTGGGAGTTGAGGTCAAGGGAGAAGGTACGCAGCAGGGCCTGTGAGTGACCGCCGCACAGTGTGCACCCACACCCCCACCCCCACCCCACCCACCCCCGCCACCCTGAGCAATGGCTCCGGGCCTTAGGAACGTCACCTTTGCAAACTCCTCACTCAGCTCTTCCGGTTTCTGTTCCACCATCTCCACCTTCTCCTCGGGACTCAACGCTGACGAATAAAAAGGCAGCACTTTTTCTTCTTCTGTTTCGTATTTCCTACATATCTCTGCAAGCTTGAGAATCTTTTCACCCTTTTGGAAGCAGGGAGCAATCTTTTACTAGGGGAGGGGAAAGGAGTTGTTCCCCTGGCTGGAATCCAGGGCAGAGACTCAGCCAGATGGGAGACAACCGCGCAAAAGAAAACCTGGCACA